AAAACAAAAACAAAAAATGGACATTCTCTCTAACTTGGAAGTCCTCCAAATTTTGGCACCCACCATCCTCCATCCAAAAAGGTTTTTTACTCTTTTAATTTTGTTATAAAAGACTTGCTTGCACGTAATCAGTGTCTACCAAAAAAAGTAATTTTTATTACGCCGATCCCATTTTTATTAGTATGCATTTATGGCTTTATACAATGGACAAATGAAGATGATCTTATGAACTCAGTTGCAGAAGTCAAAAGAGAACTTTTGCAGAGAAAACTGAATTTTATCTTGTTCATAGAGGAAGGGGGACAGCCAAGAAATACTGAAACACTGATAGAGTTGTACTCAGGAACAAAAATGTAAAGTATACATAATGTTGACTAAAGAAATGTTGACTTTTTATTCATAAGCTCGTATACATAATGTCGAACAGTATAAGTGTACTACTACATTTGTGTAACAAAAACATTGACAGCATCAACAACTCTTCGTCTTCTTTAATTCAACCTCAATACTTCAATCATATCTGTCCATCCACTGTCCATTGCAAATCCTTTATGAAACCAACCAAACTTTTCCTGCATAAGTAAAGACAAACATATATAATTCTGAGACTTTATGTACCAATTCTGTTATTTTGAAACCAAAATCGACAAAAACCACCAAAATCATCAACAATAAGATATGAAAAACTAGCTTTTCTACTTTATAAAACAGGTGTGATAGATAGTTAATTAACAAGAATGATCTTTGAAGCTCCCTTCAATCCAATTAAAAAAAGAAGAAGATAAGCTCGTCTCCTAGTTCATGCACACCTTTAACCTACGCAAAATCCAAAACTCTTTTAATTCATACATGGTAGCCAAAGGAATCCATGAACTAGCAGTCGTGATATATACCTTCTCTCCTTTCAGTGTTGGAATGAAAAGAGAGCTTCAATTCCATGAAAAAAAAAACAACCAATCTGTTTACTGTTTAGAATATAATCTTGTCGAAGAAAAAGCAGGATTATATTCTTGTAAGAAGCAAGAAAGGGAGAGGGGTTTATATAGTGAAGACAGAAAACCCTAGAATTGATCTATACCGTCAAATTCAAATCTTCAAGACAATAGTAATAGTTTAGAGAATCTACAGATTTTGTTGCCTGAATTGTGTTTGTTACGTGCATGGAACATGGAATATATATATATATTAACTGAAATTAGCATCTTTAAAAGATTATTTTTACTACATATGGCAATATAATATATTGTTGCCATCTTATATATGTGGTATTGGTCGGTCACTCTGTCTCTACAGTCTACAGTCTA